GCGGCCGAGTGGCTTTTCCCATTGGTGTTCTCAAGAGATGATGAATTCATCCGCCTGCACGCCTGCCTGGCCATCGCCGTGCTGGCCACCAACAAGGAAATCGAGAAGGAGGTGGAGCGCTCGGGGACGTTGGCTCTGGTGGAGCCGTTTATTGCCTCGCTGGATCCGGAGCAGTTTGCCTGTGATATGCTGGGGAGCAGTGACAACAGCCAGGGCAGGACAGCTGAGGACCTGCAGCGCTTGGTTCCCTTGCTAGACAGCTCACGGCTGGAGGCGCAGTGCATCGCCGCCTTCTACCTGTGCACAGAGGCTGCCATCAAGGCCAGACAGAAGAAAACAAAGGTAAAGGGTAGGTTGGAAGGAGAGGTAAAAGGTAGGTTGGCTGGAGGGAAGGACGTGCAAAAGGGCAGCGATGCCACAACCGTGTCCCGATGTTCTCTGTGCCCCTTGAGCTCACTAAGTGCCCCAGCCCCAGGTTGTGGGCAGGAGGAGGGGAAGCCAAGTGATGCCTCTTCCCACTGTGCCCACAGGTTTTCAGTGAGATTGGGGCCACACAGAGCCTCAAGAGAGTGGTTTGTTACTCCACCAGCAGCACCACCTCCTCCCTGGCCAAAAAGGTGCTGCGTCTGATAGGGGAGGAGGTGCCCCGACGCATCCTGCCCACTGTTCCCAACTGGAAGCCCTGCGAGGTGCAGACGTGGCTGCAGCAGATTGGATTCACCAAGTTCTGTCCAAACTTCTTGGTAGGGCTCTGTGCCGGGCAGGGACACCTGTGGGCAGGAGCTGTATTTCCTTGGTAGGGTCTTTCCAGCCTGGATTTCACTTGGCAGGAGCACCAGGTGGATGGGGACATTCTCCTGAGGCTGACAGAGGAGGAGCTGCAGGAGGATCTGGGGATGGGCTCCAGCATCACCCGAAAGAGGTAGGAGTGCTCCCACCTATGGCATAAAAACCACAGAGGGGTCCTGCAGGTTACCCAGAAGGACACAGACTTACCTGAGCCCTCCTCCCTTAGCTGAGCTCCTTGCATCCTGAGGATCTGCAGCCACACGGCTGTTTGCCTCCATTTACATTTTTCCTTCTACACCATGACATGTCGGTACGCTCTCTCCTAAAGACACGGAATCAAACACCTCCAGGCCCTGCCTGGACCAGCAGCACCCCATCCCCACTCCATGCTTCCATTCATTGCTTTGCCAGGTTTTTCCGGGAGCTGACAGAACTGAAAACCTTCGCCAACTACTCCACCTGCGACCGCAGCAACTTGGCCGACTGGTTGGGTAGCATTGACCCCCCGTTCCGCCAGTACACCTACAACCTGCTGACCTGCGGCGTCAACCGCAACCTCCTGCACCGCGTGACGGAGCAGCAGCTGCAGGACGACTGCCACATCAGCACCGGCTTCCACCGCGTCCGCATCCTCTCTGCTGCAAGGGGTGCGGGAGCATCAAGGGTTGGTTGGGGCAAGCGCTTGGTTGGGCACTTTTAATTGTTTTCATTGCTGTTGGCTCTGCTTAGAAACGCTTCATTCTCCTGTAACGTTGCAAACGGCATCCGATGGGACCGATGTATTCATCAGCTACCGCAGGAGCTCAGGGTCGCAGTTGGCCAGGTGAGTCCCACGTGCAACGGACAACACTGTGGTGCTGGAATTGAGCTCAGTGCATGGTGAAGGAGCTCATTCCCTGTCCCATCGCCTCCATCTTCCCCTTTCTGGCACTGATTTACCTTTTTTCATGTGGTCCTGGTGGAGGTCATAGCAGGGAGCCCAAAGACTGGGCAGCCTGTGCTGACGGCAGGCATCTCCAGCACTGTGCCACTTGCTGTCCTCTCCTCTCACCCTCAGCCTGCTGAAGGTTCACCTGCAGCTGCATGGCTTCAGTGTGTTCATCGACGTGGAGAAGTTAGAGGCAGGGAAGTTTGAGGACAAGTTGACCCAGAGCGTCCTGAGCGCCCGCAACTTCGTGCTGGTCCTCTCGCCCCACGCGCTGGATAAGTGCATGGCAGACCCTGAGTGCAAGGACTGGGTGCACAAGGTGAGGGATGCGACACAGGGAGCATAGTGTGTGCTGGAGCAGGAGGTGATGGGTTGACGTGGCCATGCCCTGAGCACCTGGGTGTTCCTGCAGGAGATCGTGACAGCCCTGAATTCTGGAAAGAACATTGTCCCCGTCACAGATCATTTTGAGTGGCCTGATCCAGAAACACTTCCCAAGGACATGAGGGCAGTCCTGAAATTTAACGGCATCAAGTAAGTAAGGGGAATCTGCCACGCTGTTAGCTCCTTAACTTGCATAAACAGTGATAAAGAGCATGAGACAGTTGGGAATAGCAACGAGGGAGGCAGCGGAGGCCAAAGGGGAACTGAGTCACTCCAGGAATTTCAGAGCATGAGGGACCAAAGTCTCACGCATCTCCTGTGAAGAAAAGAGGCGCTGCACCGAGCCGCCTCGTGGCATCTCAATGGAAAACTCGGCTCCTGTTTTTCTCCCCAACACAGGTGGTCCCACGAGTACCAGGAAGCCACCATCGACAAAATCATCCGCTTCCTGCAGGGCCGCTCCTCCCGGGACTCCTCAGCAGGGTCAGACAATGGCTTGGACTGTTCCCCTCCCATCATGCCGACCTAGAGCCAGGACAGAGGCCACATCCCCTCCAGAGACACGCAGGTGACCCCTTTTGATATGGGGCCCAATTTCTCCCATAGGTTTTCCCCATCCCAGTAGCGCTCCTTGCCCTCCCTCCCGCAGGACCTGACCCACCTCCTGGCTCGAGATGAGGCCGGGGGCAGACCTGGGGTGTAGCAGCCCTGGGGAGGACAGGCTGCCATCCAAATCCTCATCCAGAGTGGCGGCACCTCCTGAGGATGCAAAGCAGGGGGACTGGAGGGGTACAATGCAAGAGGACACAGGAGGGAGAGACCAGTGCAGAGAAAACAGCTCATCATTGTGCTCATAAGGTAAAGGCAGGAATGGGCAAATAAAGTTAAGCCCTCATCAAGTCCCTGTGTTTGGGGAAGATAACACATGCAAGGCTTCTAAACCACTGGGCAGGAACTTTCCCTTCCCTGGAGATATCCCTTTATTACAAGAGCTCTTCCCCTCTTTGAGGCCTTTCCCTCCTGATGCTGCAAAACCACTTTGTGCTCTTAGCTCTGCTGGCTGAAGTTTGGCTCTAGATCACGAGAAGTTTCCAAAGGGCTTTTGCAAAAAGTGCTTTTAAAACCATACCCTCCCCTACGTCTGAAACCTCAGCATTACCACCCTATCAGGTGCATTTATACACACAGCACGGGAGGCTGAACTGGGACTCTGGAAGTAAATCCATGCAGATATGGAAGATGCTAAATGCTGTACCGTGGAGATATGATGCACCGGCTGTATTTTATTCTGTGGTTGGTGCACATGTCTTGAACATTCAGGTTGGAAAAGAGCTCTCAGATCCTCAAGTCCAAACCCAACCCACCTCACCCACTGACCACCTCCCTCAGTGCCACATCCCCATGGTTCTGGAACACCTCCAGGGATAGGGACTCCCCCACCTCCCTGTGCAGCTGTGTCACTCCATCATCACTCCTCCCCCCTGCTTTCCCTGAAGCCTCACTACATGCCCTAACTAGCAGGAACTCACATTACCTCCTGGCTTAGATCCATGAAGGTTTCATGAAAAGTAAATTCTGATGCTTAATCAGACCTTTACAGATTGCTCTTATCAGCTCACAGTTAATAGCATCTTTGCTCCCCAGTGAAAGGTTAATAGATGTATCTGCCCAGCACACATCAGACACAGTGCTGAGGAAACCAACGCGTAAGCCCAAAGGTGAATCTGCCAAAGCATACAAGCAACATGTGAACTGCTTCAGGGAAAAATCCTGCCTAACTTACTGAAGGTCAAGGCCTCCACAGCCATTAAAGGACCTCCACTCAAACACTGCATTCTCCTTCCTATAATAACACACAACATGATTCTGTATCGTTTCCCAGGAGCTCTCTAGCCTTCCTCCTCCCCATGCACCACTCAGTGCAGACAAGTTTTACTTGCCCCCTGGACACGGGTGTCTCAGCCGCATGAGATCCCACCCGACCTCTTCCCATTTCCCTGCTGTGATTATCTTCACCCTCATGAACTCACTCTGCTTTTGACAGAACATCCTGTCCTCAGTCACTCCCAGTCTCGGCAGGCACTCCAAGGAGATAAACACATTCTGTTCGTTATCCCTCTCCCTTGTCATGTCAAAAAGTTGTTCTACAAATAAATATGGTTTACACTCTAAATCTCAACCTCTGTGCCACATGCTTTTTCTCCCTGCAGAGAAAACATTTCCTCTCTTACTGTCTCAGTCTCTCATCCTCTGCTGGGGTGTGATGCACACTCTCCAAGCACAATTCTCCGCAGGGAAACACATTTTGGTCTGTCTTTGCATGGGCTGATGGAGCTCACTGCATCACAGGGACTCTACCTGCTGGTTGCAGGTAGATCATGTCTTTGCTTGCAGTTCTTGGAGGGGAGCCTAGAAAAACTTCAGTTTTCTAAATAGACCATAACAGTTCCTATTGAATTTCTCCGTTGCAGGCACGCTGACACAAAAGCAGAGCTGAGCCAGCACACCAGTTTCACTTCACTGCACAACATTTAGCTGTTACTGTTGGATGCTGTGGAATCTGTCGGTAGATCTACAGGCTCATGGACTCCACAGGTTCAGCCACGTGCAACCCTGACAGCATGCCCTGCTCCCGCAGGCTGCTAATCCAGGGCTTGGCCCACGAATCAAGCCACATCACTCCAACTTACATCCACTGGCACAGCCACACGGACTGAGCAGTGTAACACGAAGTTCCCTACTTCTCCACTTCCTCACTCCTTGATTCTATCTTTACCACCCACTCTTAACGAACAGGGAACAAAGTGATGCATAAGCATTTCGCACACATGGCTAAAGACGGAGTAAGGAAGGGCGAATCTCATCAGCAGCTGCAAGAGAGCAATCTTTTGAAGAGCCATAAAAGAAAATGGGGGTTTTATTCACTCTGAAAGTAATCTGACCACTAAGCAATTGCACATTATTGCAGACATCAGAACTCTGTGTTCAACGCAGTGTACACAGAACCGGTGGTTTATGGCAGCGTGAATAGGATTGAAGCAATATAGTTAATGCTTTGAAAAGAACAATTACAAATACCACGAATGCGGAGGTTTGCTTGTTGCCATCAACATGTCCTGAGAAGGGCAGACGTGAAGCCACTGGCAAAAAATCATGGGTGCCCCTTACACAAAAGAATTTTTACTTCCAAAGACATTTATACTGTTCCCTTAGCAGCTCAACCCAACACACCACGGGCTGATGAGGAAGGACTGCTTCTGGCTCTGCCATTTGATTTCACAATCACAGAATCACAGGACCATTCAGGTTGGAAAAGTGCTCTCAGATCCCCAACCCATCCTTCCACATTGACCCATTCCTCAGTGCCACATCTCCACAGCACCCAAACCACCTCCCTGGGCAGCCGTGCCACTGCATCACCACTCTTGCAGAGAATAAATATTTCCTAATATCCAACCTGAGCTGGTGTGAGCTGCAGACAGACCGTTGGCACTCATAGCAACAAGCACTTCTAGCACATTTTCTTCTTAGAGCTCCACTGTGAAGCTAAAGCTATCTCAGTGAACAAGGACAGCAATAGCACTCCCATGGAAAACTACTGGCCTGCAACATTCCTATGACTTTTAATCACAACACATTGATTTGGAGCACAGGTGTTCTTAAAGCAGAACACGGTCGGGCTGCCTCACCCTGCAAGCTTTGGTCTGGGCCTCACCCACACCAACAGCTCAGCTGCTGCACACTGTGCTACTCAGAATACCAATTAAGCCAGAATTCAACTCTCTCTCATTATCCATCCCCACCCTCACTTTACAAACCAAACTCAACCCAATTCAACTCAACCCAACCCAACCCAGACCAATTAAACCCAACCAATTTCAACCCAAACAAACCCAACTCAACCCAATCCAACCCAACCAACCAAACCCAGCCAACCCAACCAAACTCAACCCAGACAAACCCAACCCAACCACTACTGGTCTCGTAAAAGGCCACTGACTGCTTTTACTCTTGATTGGCTTTTGAGTAGTCCCTTGGGTTCTCTGTAATGAGCAAGCAGACATTCACATCTGCACGTCAACTTTTCCCTGGCTCTCAGAGCCATGACTTCCAACTTTTGGGCATTTAAAAATCAGTGAGGACAACCAAGGTGTCCCTCAGACACTGATCTGCTCTGCAAGTGAAGAACAAACAGCAGTCCATGGACAGACACTGCCAGAATGGCCAATTCTCATTGCTAAGCTGCTACTCAGCCATCTGCAGGAGACAAGGAAGCATCTGAGAAGTGGCTGTACTGAAGGCTGGAGTCCTGGATTTCTATCCACCTAAGCAAGAAAGAAATAAAGAACAGTCAGCGCTGTGAAGGCACACTGAGACTTTGCTGAATGAAGTCAGCTTTAAAGTTTCAAAGGAACAGAACAAAATGATCCTGCCAGGAGCTGTTGCACTTCTACCACAAACCTCAATGTATTTTCTCTTCCAGGGCATTCAATTCTTATCATGACAAAACTTTCACTTTAGCAGAGAAACAATTGAACAGAGACTCCTATGAGAACTCCATCTCTTCCATAAAGGAAGATGTGCAAACTCAACTGCAGATTTTGGATTCTGTTCTAAGAGTGGAATGAGACTTGGAAGGTCTCTGAGCATGGACCACCACAGTTCTCAGGCTGTAGGTTTATCGCAAGGACTTATGACAGAAGAAAAGGGGGTGGAAATTAGAGACATGGTTAGTGGGCATGGTGGTGATGGATTGGTGACTGGACCTGGTGATCTTAGAGGTCTTTCCCAACCTCAATACGGTCTGTTATTCTGTGAAATGAACCTGCATCTCTGCTGATGGGGGCACCGAACCCTTTCCCATATGCATAACTGAAAACAAGCCTTGCTGAGCACTTATCCTAAGACTAAATAATCATTCTTATATTACACTCCACGATTTCTATGACAGTTTAGAAATCCGAAGTAAGTTACCCCATGATGGCTGCTGGAATAAGGAGAATGATGGCTCCAAAAAGAAAGGGGAATCCCCTCATGAAGTGCAAGGTGGAAGGGTAGAGGGAGTTGAACACCCCTGTAGCCACAAGTGAGCACAGCCCTTCCACACAGGCAACAGAGGCAAAGAGTGCACCTGCAAAAGAGACAAGATGTGAATGGTGAGAGAGCCATATAGCAACACCAACACTGAGATTTCCAGGCATGGTACCACTGGAGCTGACCAGGGATGTTATCTATCAGCTGGATTACCAATGCTTCAGAAAGGGTTATATAAATCTGTTTACTGCCAGGCATATCTTATCGCTTGTTAAACATTAAGTGCAGCAGAGGGCTGCAATTTATAGGCTTAGCATCATAAATATCATGTGTATACCACCTTCATTCTTCAATAATGCAAGAAATCCAATTTTGCCAAGTCGCCCTCTGGTCTATCCCACCTCACTTCCCCCCTCCCTGCCTGCAGAAGCACTTCCATGCAGTGTGTAACACCGAGTGTAAGCTTTTCTCATGGATTCCTGGACGAAAGGCAAACACATCTTCCTCAGGATTATCCATGATCTTTCACCATGGTCAATGATACAACCCTCTAACAACGCTAAGTTTCTTCCCACTGTTACTGATCTACAGAGAAAAGTCACAGCCAGGGAAATCACTAATATCCGCTTGTTATATAATCCGTTTAACTCTTGCTTCTCAGACCCTTTGAAACGAACTGATGAGTGGACGACCTGTTCCTGAACATGAACGCAATGTTTTCCATCTTGCCTTCTATTTTTTGTCCTCATCTTGAAAATGCAGTGAGCCTAAATGGATAAATATTGACAACTTCGAGCATCACCCTAGCTTTGAAGGTGAATGCATGGGCACAGGAGTCCAAAGGAGTTAGGGAAGGACTAACCTACCAAAGCAGTTTGGTTTCAATGTCCCACCAAGACAAGTGCTTTGGGACACGGCTTAAGTGCACTTAAGGCCAACTCCTTACCCTGCTCCGTCTCACTGACCAGCTTGGAGAGCTTGGCTCTGATAACTGGAGTAGCTGCCATGGACAGGAACATAATCCCATAACCTGTAAGCAAGATATGGTACATTAGGGAAAGCTCAGCCGAAGATGTGTTGAATTAAACTCATAGAATCATAGATTAAAGTTGGAAAAGATCTCCAAGACCACAGAGTTGAATCATCAACCCATCCCTATCATGCATGCTAAGCTGTGTTGGTCAGTTGGACTCAAGGATCCATACGGATCCCTTCCAGCTTGGGATATCCCATGACTCCGTGATTCTATGATCAACTGGCATTTCCAAGCTACGCCCCCAAGATGCGAGGACTTAAGAGCTCTGCATCACCTGTAAACATCAGTGGTGTTGTAGTAGCAAGAGAAATCACCACCAGCCCAGCAATATTGGAGATGAGTCCTATCTCTGCCACCCAGGTGTCCTCCAGGCAGAGCTGCAGCAGCCGCAGCCCCCCCAGGCTGCTCAGGTACGCCAGGTAGCTGGCAGCTGAGCCGAACCCAATGAGATCTGAGGCCCAGCAGAGTGGGGAGCCAAGTTCATACAAAACATAGAGGTCTTTGGTTCCGAAATGGACAGTGACAAGAAGAAAGAAAGCCAAGGAGTAGAGGGCAAGCTTCCTCCTGGAGCTCAGGTTTTCCGGGGCCGTGTACAGCTTGTAGACAGCCTTGTAGTGTTGGAGAGTCAACAGCTTGGCCGCTCTCCGCTGCTTCACCGTTTCCTGCAGACACAGAGCGGCATAGAGGGCAGCAGCGAGGCTGGCGGCGAGCACCAGCCAGAAGGGGTTGATGTAACCCTCAGCTTTACGCCACTGGCCACCACCAAGGCTGGCCACCATGCCCGCCACGCCAAGGCAAGCCTCGAGGATGGCCACGCGGAAGGTGCGGGCGCGCTGGTCGCTGCTATCGGCTACGGAGGCGAAGCAGCCGGCCAGGATCAGGTTGTAATCCCCCAGGAGACCGCTGACCACGCGCCCTAGGAGCAGGTAGGCGACGTGCAGCCGCAGGTACATGACGAGGAGGTACACGGCCGCCTGCATCGCCATGCCCACCGCCGGCAGTACCAGCACCGGCCGCCGGCCCGCGCTGTCGCTCCACGGCCCGAAGAGAGTCACCGAGAACAGCCCGACGAAGAAACCCCCCAGATTGATGTAGAGGTTCCAATGGGCGACCGACGCTTCCACCTCCTGAAAGAAAAACGCACGGTGACAGCGGGGCGGGCACGGCCATCCCAACAGCTCCCCGCCGCCCTCCCCCAGCGCTCCCCACCTCCCGCAGCGGCTCGACGGCTCCGCTGCCGTTCCCGCAGCCGTCGGGGCTGCTGCCATTGGGGCCCACGTAGCCGCGTTCGGCCCCCAGCCGATCCCATAGGTACTGGGTGGCCAGCGGGCCCTGCAAACCGAGAGCCAGCGTGGCGAGGAAGAGCAGAGGCTCCACGGAGAGAGCGGGGAGGCAGCGGCGGGCGGGGGGCGGTGGTGCGGGAGGGGTAGCGGCGGTGAGGGGCTCCGACGGGGCGGCCATGGCTGCGGAGGAACGGGCGGAGAGATCGACAGAGCGGCCCCACCTCCGGCTCCGCCCCACAGATGGGAGTGGGGAGGATCCGAGGGAAGCGCTGCTTTTGCGGGCTTTCGTCTTTCGTGCGTGTTTTTGCGTTGCTGGGGGTCCCTGCTTGGGGGTTTCTGAGCAGTGATTAAAGATATTTCGAGTCCCAGCTTGATGTGCTGATCTTCGAGCTGTAGTCTGCCATTTAGACGCAGAAGAACCTGGGAAAATACGTTAGAACGTGGGAAATTGGGTAGTTAGCAACGTGTAATCAGCTTGATTAGTTTTATAGGATCACAGAGTGGTTGGAGTTGGAAGGGACCTCCAAGGGCCGACTGGTCCCACTGCCTGCAATGCACAGGGACACCCACAGCTCCATCAGTGCTCAGAGCCTTTCTGCCTGACCCCGGATACTGCAAGGATGGGCACCACCACCTCACTGGGCAATATGTGCCAATGCCTCACCGCCCTTATACTAAACAACCTTTTCCTTTTATCCAATCTGAATCAGGGTTTGGTGCCTCAAAGACCAGATCTGTCAACAAAGAACAAGTGCTTTAAATTAACACTTTAAAAACACAATTCAGAGTATGAGATTAACCCATTTACATAAACTGGGGTAATCCCAAGTTAATGTAAACTGACATCACTCCAGCACCACTGAGGGAGTGTTAACCACAGCATCACAGAACCATTCAGGTTGGAAAAGACCTCTCAGATCTCCAAGTCCAACCCCAGCCCACCTCCACCATGCCCACCTCCCTCTCAAACACTTCCAGGGATGGGGATCCCAGCACTCCCCAGGCAGATGTGCCAAAGCATCACCACTCTTTGGAAAAGAAGTTTTTCCTAATACCCACCAGAAGCTTTTGGTGGAACTACCATCAGGTGACCCGTGGTCTTTGCTTCTCTTCTCTCTCTGCTTGACCAAGCCATAAACAGAGCTGCGCCATTTAAACCAAAGAAATGGAAACATCACCATTATCTGAAAGCTACACAGGCATGGCCTACCCAATAAAGACACCCAGGTGTCATTAGCAGGATGCTCCCTTTGGAACTAACAGCTTCCACTCAGTTCCTGTCTACTTACAGAATCAAATAATTCACTGTTGGAAGTTTTTTTTTGCAATTGGAACCAAAATTGCCACCAATTTCCCAGGTTTTCCAAATTCACTTTAAATAATAATAATAATAGCATTAATTGCCCTATGAGCTACCACAGCCGTGCCTAAAAAACCTGATAGATAGGAAAGGTGAAAAACCCATTGCCTGATGCTTGCAGTTTTTGGCACTGTAGCCAAGCCTTGCCCAATGCCTTCACACACAACAGGCCAAGTCAGAAGGAGTTATGACTTTCCCTCTTTAGCCCAGGGCATTTCGTATAACATACCGATCTGTTCTGGGGGGCCAGAACCATCACCCTTTAAACAGAGTAGAAGAAAATCGTTGTGAAGTTTCTGCTCTTTTTGTTTTTTTATGGGAGATACCTACTGAAAGGAGGCATGAGGAAAGATCAACACTTGCACAAAGCGAAGGACCTCTCAGGATGCTTCTGAAGAACGCCTTGGGCGCAAGGAGTTAATCTTCTCCCGGATTTACTGGTTATCAGAAAGGCTGTTGTAAGAAAGTTCTTGATCTGACACTCTTTTGCTGTCCCCTCCCTTCTTTGTTCTCTTCCTTCTTTCTCTGATTACATCCAAAAACAACACCCAGCTGCCAGAGGTCAATGTTTAATGCTGCTCTGTGTTTATATAGTCCCCGGGAGCAGCGCTGGGCCCTTCAGCACTGGGCAGCTCCACCATGGCTCCCTGCTGGCAGCTGCTTCTTGCCTTCAGGAAATACCTGGTCATCATCCTGGTGCCCCTTCTCTTCCTACCACTGCCTCTGGCTGTTCCTAGCAAGGTAAGGACCTTTCACGCTGTATTTGAGAGCAAATCTGTCCTTAGAGACGATCCTTGGAAGAGAACGTGCAAATTCTTACAGGCTCTTCATAAAATCACAGCATAACCAGAGCTGGAAGGGACCCATGAATCTAATCTACCTTCTAAGGATCGATCCCAAACTGCTTTCTGATCTAACATTACCCCATTCACGTCCCCTTTCAGAGTTGGGTATTTTTTTTCTCATCATTGCTGCCAGGTAAAAGAGTCACCTCTCACACTCACATAAGGAACTCTGTTACATCGGGGAAAAAAATGCAACGTGTTTCACTCTTCCTATCATTATTTCCATAATAAACTTCCCAAAAAAAAAAAAGAAAAAAAGATTTAAAATTTTGAAATGTCACATTTCGAATGACAGAATGCTGAACATTCCTTCTGAAGAAGTAAGCTGTGAAAGCCTGTAGCAGTAGGGCAGGTATTTCTGAGCCATTGATCACCCGGACGCAGCACTGAGCGCAGGCAGAGTGCCAGCAGTTGGATTAATCTTCACTCTCATTTCTCCTGCTCTCCTCATGCAGACAGAGCTAACCTCTGCTCTTCAGGTCTCTCATTCCACTCCTAATCCCTTCTCCCATCACTACTGCTCTTCGAATGCCAAGTCCTACCTCCTCCCTTTGATCCCCGCTGATCCTCAGCTTCTGGTCTCCTTCCCAGTTCTTCTCCCTTCTTCACTCTGTCTTTTTTTTTGCAGCCCCTTCTTCCTCACTGCTCTTATTTTTTTTCCCTTTTGAACTCATTCTTTTTCATCAGACCAGTGAGTCAGAGAGTTTCTGAAGCTTGGGCCAGGGGTTTGCAAGCGCGAACAATGGAGTGGCTCTGGTGGGAGGAGAAATGCAGTAACTGATCAGGCATGTCCTCCCCTTCCCTTGCTATGCAAATAAAACAGCTTAAACTGTCACTTAAAAGCTTACTAAAACGACAAACAGAAAATAACAGACAAATTTTTTTTTTTTTTTTTTGCTAATTAACTTTCTGTAGGCCAAAGTTAAAATAAGTTAAAAGAGATTTGGATCATAAACTTTCTGAAGTATCCAGAAGTGGGAGCGTTGTTTTTCATCTCTTCCTGAGGTTGCTGTTACCAGACCATAAGCCCTTGGTTTTGTCCATCAGCGTTTCCAATTGGTGCCATCCATGGGTGCACCTTCATAACAATAAAATAAGGGAGAAAAGGGACCATCAAAGTGGGAAACTGTCTTCAGAGCTTGACAGAACCAATAGTTAAGGTTACTGCCACTCTCATTCAAGATAAGGCTTAGAAGGCCTTAAATCTCTTCAGGATTCTCTGGCAGTATTACTCTTCCATCCCTGGTAATGTGCCACCAAGATCGCTTCCCTCCATCCATTAAACCTTCCTTGGTTTAAACCTCTACTCAAGCCATCACCTTTTCAATCTCCTTTTCCTAATTCTTTAGTCAATAAACATTGGTACGCTTTCATTCATTCTCTCCATTCTGTGTATTTTGAATGGACATTCTCAATCCAAGACCACGCAACAACTTTTTCCTCCCAAATCCTCTGCTCTGACTGCTGCTGGCACCTCTTATTTTGCCAGCTCCAAATTAAAGAAGACCCTGTATCCTGCACTGTCACTTTCCCGTGGTTTTTTTTTCCAGCAGCCTAGCAGTATGCCATGTTGTGAGATGGCATTTTGAATCCTTCTGGTGCCCAAGGCTGAGTTAAATAGTCTTATATAAAATTTAGAGTGGTTGTCTGCAGCAAAACCATGTCTGTTTCCTTGGGGGAAAAAAAACCAGAAAGATAATGTGAAACATGAGATTGTACTTTCTTCAAAGAAATAACTCAGAGTCAATGGAAGATGAAACTGACCCATGACCAGTTTGTCAGCATTTCAAAGTCTGTACTGAGCTAAAAATCTGATTTTAAAGAATAGATAACAGTATTTCCAGTACAAAGAACACAGGCTGCTGAACCTACCAGAGGTTCACCAGGGCCACATCCTAAATTATGCAGAGGAAAAAGTGGGGAAACCTTGACTAGATTGAAGATTACTTCTGCGAATCAAAGACAAATAAAATAAAATAAAAAACAACAAAAAAGAGAGAGAAAATACCAGCATCAGCAAAACCAAGACATCTGTGCAGGGACTGCCAATCCCTTATCTTATCATAAAAGGTTCAAAGTCATCCATTTCTTGTCTTCTCCCATCAAAGGTCCCAATCTCTCCCTATAGTTGTGACAAGGTCGTTGAGTACTTTGTCACTGGGTTAAGATCTGCAGTTAGGGGGACAGATGGGAGGAAAAGACAGCAAACAACCTTTTCCCAAATCCCTTTATCAGGCAATGCGTATAACAACGGGCTGTTGCCTTCTCAGAGCATAAGTGAGGTGTAGAACCCATTCTGACTGCCTGCACTCCCTTCTTTCAGGAGGCCCAATGTGGGTATGTTATCATCCTGATGGCACTGCTGTGGTGCACGGAAGCTTTGCCGTTGGCTGTCACAGCCCTCCTTCCCGTCCTGCTCTTCCCAATGATGAACATCATGGATTCGACAGCAGTAAGAGACTGGGGTCTCGTCTGATGTTGGTTTCTAATGGCCATCTCTTATTTGGGTGGGATTTCCAGAGTGCAGATCGAAGAGGAAAGCACTGCACCAATGTTATGCAGAAAATGTACTCTGTTTATGGGATAGAGCCTGCTTGTGCCCACAGTGGAGCTGCTAATCTGAAATTGAAGCAGATTCATTAATCAGATGCAACCTATAGTTAGCATACTAATGACTTTGGGACAAGGTTCCCCCTGAGAAAACACCTTCTTTCTATCTAATGGTTTCTTATCACTGTTCTCTCCCCCTTGCTCCTTATTGTAGGTCTGCAGGGAGTATCTGAAGGACAGCAATATGCTTTTTATTGGGGGACTGCTGATGGCCATTGCTATTGAGAACTGGAACCTACACAAGCGCGTTGCTCTGCGGGTCTTGCTCATCACTGGTGTCAGACCAGCCCTGTGAGTAACAGCCACAAAAACGATGTGGGATAGAAGATTTCGTGGCATTGCTTCCTGTCAGCGCTGCCTGAAATCAATTCTGAAGTCAGGGGTGCTACTGGGCTTGGGCAGGAGCACAGCTTTTGACAGTCAGGAGTCTTTGGCTGAAATATAGAAGATATCGACTCTATAAATGCTATATTGATTACAAGAAGAGAAAATGGGGGGATGCTTGTTTTGGAAAGAATAACTGTTTGCCAGACTGCTTTAAGCCACGCAGAGGCCACGTTACCCTATTTAATTTGTCCCAGATCATAAGAAGAGGGAATACAGAAGGAAATTACAAAGCAATAGAATGAAAATGCATATAAGATAAAACCCATTTCATCTGATGTATAATCTACATCTCATCTAAAGAGTAATTTTGAGACAAATAACAGAGTAATGCTGCAGCAAGGATTAGAATTTTATATGAGTAAGAAGAGACTCTTAAATGATAGAGGTAGGATAAATCTACAAAAAAGAAAAAAAAAGATCATTTTCCTTATTGTTTAAACTGATTGCTGGGCATTTTCCAAACCTTGCATTTGTAAACAGAGCTTTGTAACAGAAAAGGGCATGGAAGCCTTGAGTTCTGACCCAGCTTCTTCAAACCTGTTTGTTTCAGCCTTCTGATGGGCTTCATGCTCGTGACTGCATTCCTGTCCATGTGGATCAGCAACACAGCCACCACTGCCATGATGGTGCCCATAGCACAGGCGGTTCTGGATCAGTTGCACCAGACAGGAATGGGATCTGAGGCACCCAACCAAGTGCTTGAGAATGACAACAAGGCCTTTGAACTGCAGGAAGAGCCAACAAAATCAAACAGCTTCAAAGAAACGGAGGAAAAAGGTGAATGGGCTCTGGGCATTTTTCTCTTTGGCATAGGGTGTCCTGATGCCTTTTCACTGGCACAGTCGTTGCTCCTAAATTCTGAAAAGGAATTTACCTAAAGCATCCTGACTGTTCTTGCAGCAGTCGTGAGGCTCTTCCATGAATCAAAGGCACAGTAAGTTCTATTGACTTGGATGAAGGTCAATAGCTCAATAAAACAACACGTATAAGCACTGCTTTAGCTGAAGACCTCACATCAGGTTTGATATTTCCTCATATATTATGTTAGCTCCACTGTAATCTGCTGTGTAACTCGTCAGACAGCAGTCCATCTGCGGGACAGATTCTGGCCTATTTCCTGCCTGAAAGTTAGAGATTAAAATGATCTTTCTAATCCAAAGAATGATCTCTCTAATCCAAAGATATATAATCACACAACAATGTCTCTTCAGACTTCATCACATCAACTTCTCCTGAAAAATGGTTATTTTCACCGACAACCAGTAAAAATTGACAGAATGTCAAAGATTTAACAATGCCAGCCTCTTAAAACAAGGAAATTTGGCTCCTTCAGCTCTGAGTCTGTTGTGTTTTAGCCTTCAATTACAGAATTTTACAGACAGAAGATCTTTTCCTACCCAATGTAGCTTCTCTAACCCCCCTCATTCCTATCTTGGGACCTAGGCAATAACCATGTCCTGGCAGTTGAGGAAGGCAAAGAGAAAAGTGAACACCCTATAGACGAGAAGCACAAGAAACTCTGCAAGGGAATGTCTCTCTCAATTTGTTACGCAGCCAGTATTGGAGGGATTGCAACTCTGACTGGGACAACACCAAATCTGGTGCTGAAGGGACAAGTTGATGAGTAAGTCTGGTTGGATTTGGAATACACATCCATTAAGATGCATCTTTCTGCTCCAGCTGACTTCTAGTTCATACACAGAAGGAAAATATCAGTTTGCTAACTGCAGGGAAGTTGGCTTCTCTTCCTTGGGGAGCCTCAAAACACCTCCTGTTTTTGAATACAGAAGAGACTGCAGAGTTTGGGATGCTGACAGCCCTCTACATTTTGCAGGATCTTTCCCAACAATGACAACGTCATCAACTTTGCCTCTTGGTTCTCTTTTGCTTTTCCCACCATGGTTCTGTTGCTGGTTTTGGCCTGGATTTGGCTGCAAATTCTGTACTTGGGCTTCAAGTAAGTACCCTTCTCATACTAGAGCACAGAGCACAGGTCTGTTATTAAGTACTCATTACATACCGTACCACGAGTGATTCTTCCACTGATAAGCCTATGCTTGATGTTTACACACCAAGTAGAGAAGCATTCAGATACAACAGAGACCAGCAGCACTGCACACTGAGTATCTGTTGAAATACTGCAATTTTTTTTTCCAATAACCTGATGAAATCCCAGCAAAGTACACTCCATAGCTGGAAACAAGGAGCTCCATCTGCACACAACCTGTTCTGCTGCATTGCTTTCATGTCCTAGAAGATTGCTGTGCTTCAAACCAGGAAATTGATTTCTGCATAGAGCTGGTAAATTCCCTCCTGACGAAAGTCGTGCAGAGCTGCAGGATTAGCATTGTGTCAACACCCCATGCAAACAGCTTTCATTGCCAATGTGACACTTGGACCACCACTTTGGCATTAACCTCTTTCAAATGGAAAGAGCTTTCTCAATACCTGAAATGCTGTCTCATTCCTCAAGGTCCTATTTGTAAGTCCTCCTTTTCTGTAATTTTAAAAACCTCGGCTGCTGTTTGCTTCCCAGTGATCACACAGTGCCAGTCACACTGTTCTGGTCATTATTACCCTGTGTGTATCACACTCTGACAATGAGGTTTTAGGGACAGGAAAGTTTTTGGGTTTTTTTTTAATCTTGGCAGCACAGAATACAACACAGTTATCATCTACATCTGTGGCTGCTGATGTCACAACATTATATATATAATTTCTATTAACACACACACACATATATATATATAACACAATGTGTCTGAGTTACAGAGTCCAGATTCTCAACTCTTAAGACATCTGGCAAATTTCTTTGATATTTCTTGCCCTTTTTTTTTTCTAGTTTTCAGAAGAATTTTGGTTGTGTGAGAGATCCCTCCGCAAAGACCAAAGAGAAACAGGCCTATCAAATTATCAAGGACGAGAACAAGAAATTGGGTTCCATGAAATTTGCAGAGATTGCAGTCCTGGTCCTCTTCATCCTGCTGGTACTGCTCTGGTTTACAAGAGACCCTGGTTTCATACCTGGCTGGGCAACAGTTCTCTTCAACAAAAATGATACGAGGTACCATCACCTCTCCTCCTTGCTCTGAGCAAAACTGTATCAGGAAACAACTGAATTATAAAGCATAGCCTAGCTTTTCTCTTCCCAAATGATCTTTAATGAGGATTCCCTGCTTATGTATCCTGGCCTAGGCTGTGAATGAACATCTATCAGTAGCGTTATTTTGGGTAGTCCTGTGTGGCATCAGGATTTGGACTTGATGATCCTTAAGGGTCCCTTCCAATTCGGGATCTTCCACCATCATACCAAGTTTAGAAGTAAAATTTGCAATTGTTATTGCATTATTCAGTTTCTTCAGTTCCTTATGCACCTAAATTTCTAATTTTCTGACTGATCCATTGCAGCTTTGTCACTGATGCGACAGTTGCCATCTTCATTTCACTGTTGCTGTTCATCATCCCTTCCGAATTCTCTATCCAGAAGCAGACAGGTAAGCTTACTGAAGACATCAACTGCCAGAATAATTACGCTGGAAACCTTATATTTTAGATTCACTAAAGAAATTTCAAATTGCTCTTCCAGTGAAGTTTTATGCTTTAGGCATACGTCCCATGAAAAGCCCTCTCAGATCTCCAAGTCCAACCCCACCATGCCCACTGACCACGTTCCTCAGTGCCACATCCCCACGGTTCTGACACCTCCAGGGATGGGGACTTTCAATCTCCCAGTGCAGCTGTGCCACTGCAGCACCACTCTTTTGGAGAAACGTTTCCTCATATCCAACCTGAACCATCCCCAGTGCAACCTGAGGCCATTACCTCTCATCCTATCACTAATTGCTTGGGAGAAGAGGCCATTCTCTGGATACGTTGCCATTCCTCTAACCCACTCTTACTTTTCATCTACTCTACTTTGCTTTCTGAAGCAATTGCAGGTTATTCATTAATACTTTTGCACATCAAGTTTTAAAATCTCCTCACTCACTTTCGGTGACTATCCCAAAGCCACGTTGATCTTGCTGACAGAAATGTCCTCGTATTCCAGCTAAGCCTACTTCACACTGACAAGTACCTCCTTCTTGGGAGAACATAATATACAACCAATTCTTGTTGGGATTGTAGGCAGCAAGACAAAGATCCGAGCACCTCCAGCTCTCCTGAACTGGAAAGTAGTTCACGAGAAAATGCCATGGAACATCGTGCTCCTGCTGGGTGGTGGCTTTGCCTTGGCCAAAGGCAGTGAGGTAACACCCCTCTGCTTACCTGCTCTCTGTGGGTGTTTTCTCCTCTGCTTTTCACATATGCTCTCCCAGAACACAAGAGGGCACGCTGGGAGCACCAAACACACGTGGCGGTCGGACAGATTTCATCCTTAGGAGCAGTCTTATGATGAGAAGAGATGCAGCCAATGCCAACAACACGGTGCAGCACAGCAGCACAATTAACTGTGTTTCTAGAAGACTGGTGATTAAGGAAATACCCCATTACACCAAAGACTCTATTAAATGCAATTTAATCAGTGTGGCAGGCAGAAGATAACACTTCCAGGATGTGTCTCCCGCGCAGTCCCTACAGCCTCCACACACATTTCTACAGAAAGAAGTTTGTATGAGAAATTCCATAGGGTAGAACTGATGAGGGAAACATGGTTGGACTGTGATACGGGTACTTCTTCAGCCTGCTATCCTGACAAGCATTTTTCCTCTGTTACAGGAATCCGGTCTGTCCGGATGGTTGGGTACCAAACTCACTCCTCTGGAGCACATCCCTCATCCAGCCATTGCGTTCGTGTTGTGTCTCCTTATTGCTACTTTCACTGAGTGTGCCAGCAACGTGGCCACCACCACCCTCTTTCTCCCTATCCTGGCTTCAATGGTGAGTTCAGAATGCCCTCGTAAAGGCAGCTTTCAGGCAGGGGAATGCTCAGTGGTGAGAGGTGGCTGGCTGACACCGCCAAGCACTGGCTCATGTAATCAGATCAGGAGGCAAGACTTTAAATAAATACATATGTATGTGAATGCTTATAAATTCACACACACTGTGCGCTCAGCTCGACCTTCCTAAAATCATTGATGGGAAAAGTAAAAGGATTAAACTCATGGGCATAGTAGACTTTGCCTTCTGGCCTAAATAACCCCATGAGGTCATTGCCAGCTGTACTCGTTTTTTCCTATTTGTTCTGCAGAGAGCAGCAGCAGCAGCATTTGTTTCCCTATAACATTCCATTACTGTATTTCACTCCAACCACTGGCCTTCCAGAAGTCCAAAGACGATAGCATTAGTCAGGCTCTGTGACCTAATTCAGAATTTCCCCAGGAAACTCCTGTTGCAATGATAGATGCCATTCTGCAGTGTGAAATGGTGGCTCCAGATTGACACTGGAGTAAGAACCACCAAAACCTTTTTTTGCATAGGACACAGACTCCAATAATCCTTGAGATGACCCATTCACCTTCAGAGTTTCCCCCGATAATTTAGTTTTGCTCACAATCTGTTTGAAGGCCCTTTATACTCTTTCCTGCTTTTTGAGTCTAATGCAGTCGTTATTATTAATTTATACCTTAGCAGTGATTCAAAATCCACAATCAGGAACACAAAGCATTGACCACAAAACCAATTCTTGCTGCTGCTGCACAAAGATGTTGAGTAGAAGTTGCTAAAGCAGACCCAACGTATGAGTGGTTACAACATTTGTGAAAGAAACGATTTCTGGCATGGACAAACGCAATTAATATTCTGCCAAAAGGTTTCTATGCATTTCTGTGTATCAGAACCATCACCCGTGCTCTCCCTTCTTGCCTAGGCTCAATCTATCTGCCTCAATCCACTCTATGTCATGCTGCCCTGTACACTTTCGGCATCGTTGGCATTCATGCTCCCAGTGGCCACCCCCCCCAATGCCATTGTCTTCTCATACGGACATCTCAAGGTTATAGACATGGTGAGAAAAACACATTCTTGTCATCATTTTCATCACTAGTTTTGACCTCTTTCCCCCTCCCACTGCAATATTGGTTCCTCTTGAAAGAGTGTTAGAAAACTCACCCTTCTGACGACAAATGGAAAGACAAATATAAATGTCTGAATTAATTAATGGTCCCTCTATATATGTGGGGTCCAGCTTTATATACTAATAAAGCATACATTTACAGCCTTATCAAGAAGTTATTGAGCTTTAAGAAAACATTCAAGACCTCTTGAAGATGTTCCAGTGGCAGCCAGAAGTGGCAATGTGTACCTGTTCCAAAAGCCCACGTGTAGATACGATCAGGGATGTCGAGGTGTGCACTCTGTATGATCCTTCTGCAGTGACCAAGGCAAAGCCTGCACCTCTCACAAGGCTGCCCTGATGCCCGATCTCAGTATCACAAAGAAAGATGGACAAGGATGTCTTGTCTCTGGGCAACTTCTCCAATATATAACACCAGATACCAATACCAGGTCAGAGGAGAAGGTTCTACGCAGGCAGATGGAAAGGATTTCAGGACTTCTAGCTTAACAGCTCTATCCAATGGAAACCCAGTTTCCATTCTACAGACTGTATCTTGTGAACGAAACCAGTTTAAATGTAATTTGATGGAGGTCTGAAGGAGCCAAAGAGGGAAGCCAGAAAAACTAAACATAAGACAAACCTAATCAGCGTGGAAGGAAGAAGAGCATTCAGTTCAATTAATAACATTTTTGCTTTGTAATTCCAGGCCAAAGCTGGATTTGTACTCAACATCTTGGGCGTTCTGACAATAAATCTGGCCATCAACACCTGGGCTTCATCCTTGTTCAAGCTGAATACCTACCCATCTTGGGCAAACTCAACGTATTGTTAGTGACACAAGGGAACCAAGAACTGCACCTATTAGGACCATAACATGAGCAAATCCATCACTGACCCAAGCTTTGCTGAGGCAGTGGCTAAGAGACAGCTGTATTCTGTGCAAAAGGACTTGCTATCTATGGGGAAGATCAACCCATTGATAAGGTGAGGCAACCTCCTGCCTTTCAGCTGTTCCAGGTGTCTTCAGACTTTCTGCCTCTGCAGGGGAGCATTTTCTCCAAGTACTACACTGTTCTTCAGGCTCTGCATGTAAAGTCCTAAACCTGCAGTGAATGAGAAAGAACTGTGTATATATATATAATATATATAAAAGAATATATATATAAATATATATATATAAAAGAATGGAGAGAGACTCTGTGTACTGACTTCATGCCTGTGTTTGTGTATCAGCACTAATGTGAATATTCACCTACAGGCACCAGTGTATATGTTCCATATGTACATAATGTCATATACTCTGTGGGCAAGAGATAAATCACTTGCTGTCAGCCTATCCTATGACTTTGAAATGTATATATTTACAGCCTACTCTGTTTTGAACGTAGAGGATTGCTTTTATCCTGAAACATCCATCCCGTTGTTATTTAAGCAGCATTACAGTCTGCAATGTCTGGAATAAATGGCAGGAATAGAAATATTCCCCTGAGAAGGACCTTGTGTCCTAAAGTGTATATGATTAATTAAAGGCTACTGTTTTTTATGCTCATGTACAAATATCACTGTAAATATACTTGTCTTCCGTGTGTCAATGGCTTGTCTGAGCTTCCTTACGCTAAGTTAGCACAGTTGAATTTGTTATCATTAAAGTCATAATTACTACTAACAGGTTAATTTTCTTGCACTACCAACACCAAGATCTTCCTTTCCAAACCCCCAGTATAGCTCAGTGTTCAACCCCTGTTCTCTTACACCAACTTTCAGCAGTAGCACACAGGTTCCCAGTGACCAAACTGACAAAGACAGTGGATTTTTTTGATGCCTATTGGCATACAATGCACCAACCTGCAGTATTTCCAGTTCCAGATGTTAAGACAGTTCTGGTACCTGCTGAGCACTGGTTCCCTCTCTGCTGATAGCTTTCTTGCAACAATTGCTGTGGAAGATCCCATAAAGGATAATCTGCTGTTAACTCTTCAGAGACTTTGAGAGATAGAATCAATGTTTTGATTTCGTTACGCGATAGGGTTCTAACATAGAATCACAGAATCATTCAGGTTGAAATAGACCTCTAAGATCATCTGGTCCAACCACCAGCCCATCGTAACATCCATTCCATACCATCCATATCCATCAACGCATCCTGTGTCCATAGCACAGGAAGGAAGGGTGTTATTCTTTTTGACTGAAGAGCTCCTGGCTAATTGATCTCATTCACATACAGACTTTCTCAGCTCACTTAATGCATTCACTTTCTTTCCCCCTTCACATTTATCGCTATCAAATAATACCCAACCTGTGTAAATACTTTCATTCTGCTGACCACGATGTGTGAGGGCCCAATAAAACACCAAACTCTCCCTTCCTCACTCTTTGTCTACAACATCAGGGTAGTCTGCACAGCTCTCGGTGGCTTTTTGCTTTCTTTGAAATACTTGCACATGGCTTACATGTCCTCCTAAATTACTGCTTAGCTAAGCAGGAAGCACTGAATTCATACAACATCTCCCATCAGCCTCTCCTTCCAGCCCTTTAAAACTGTGTTATGGTTCTTTGAAGTCTTTTCTACGAGTCTACATTATTCAGAGGCTGTGGTGTGCATAACGACATGCAGGAGCACAGGTGCAATCTTTATGGCAATCTCAAGACATCAAGTAGCACCTGGTGTCACGAGGCCAGGGCATCATGTGGGTGTTCCGTGTTCATTAATGTGTGTGTGTGTGTATATAAAGGCTCAGGACTTACCAGAAAGCAGCTGCAGCAAATGTTATTCAACAAACATCCCAAGGGATGCAACCTGTGGACAGAGGAGAGAAGCAAACAATGACACCAGGACATGGGGAGAACGGAAAATGTCACTGATAGCATCCACTTAGGAGTGATGGTAGCAGCATTTTCATGCTGGGCAGTTTGTTGCTACGGGTGTGTCTGAGCTCAGGACCAGTCGAGGTGCATCTAAATATAGTGTGCTTGTGCAAAAAGCAGTAACACTATTAAAAATGTTCATAATTTTCTAAGCAAAGCAGGTAGAAAGTGTTGCTAAGCCCCATTATTACCCAGATCGCCTTTGAAGGGTGGTTCCCCATTATGTTTCCAGATACTGCCCTCAAGGAGTGGCTCGATTTCCCATTGTGTGATCAAATTTCACAATCTGCTGTGAAACTGCCAGCTCAGCACCTGCAGTTAGATGAGATCCCAATGGAGCTCTTCGTTTCAGAGCCGACACCACGTTTGCTTTCCATAAGAGTCGTAAGTGATGAATTTGTGATGAGAAGGGGACGTCTGCCTTCTTGCCTGCCTTGTCCAAAAAGCGAGCACACTACGAAACCACAAAATACAGGTTTCCCACAGCAAATGCCAGTGAGTAAGTGAGTGACTCGCAGTCACCTCCTCCATTTTCCCTGCAGTTATGGAGCTGTCTTGCCTTGCCTTGCCCAGACACACAAATGCACACGGGAGAGAATATGAAGGACTTATCCTGGTAAACATATAAACTGCTGCAACACACGATCACAACAGATGAATTTTAGGCAGGTTAACACAGCAAGGAAAACAGCTTACAGGTGAGAAAGGCACTTCATCACCAACAAATTTGTAAAATGGGATGCAAGTGATGCAAGGGTCACTTTATCAAGTGCTGAAATCATAAAAAGACTTCAGAGACAACAGTTTTAAAGCCAGCATGCTTTTTTATCCAGAAGTTGGCTTGGAGAGGCCAAAAAAATGTTTCCAGTCACTTAAAAGACATTAAAAGGACCTCAGAGGACCTGAAATCTTGACATATATGTAGACAGTCATAAAATAATAGAATCATATGGTTGGGAAAGACCTCTCAGATCTCCCAGGCCAACCCCACCCCACCGTTCCTCCTGACCACATCCCTCAGCCCCACATCCCCGTGGCTCTGGAAGACCTCCAGGGATGGTGAGCCCACCACCTCCCTGGGCAGCCTCTGCCAACGCATCACTTCTTGTATAATGAACATTAAATGACCTCAAGAAGGTGAAAAATTACATCTTCAAAAACAAAATACAAGCCAACAGGACTAGAAAACAGTGTAAGAGCACAGAATTCGCTGGAGGACACAAGGAAGGCAGGCCTAAATGATATGCTCTACAATACTCTACAATTATATTAAAATATAAACCAAAATTCTCAGCGACTTTGTCAACATCTAAAGACGTAATGGAGAGCTACAACGAGGGTGGAACTGGGAATTAAAAGCAACAAAGGAAGAGGTGGAAACTGAAAGTCTAATACCACTGCAGACTGAAAAATGAAGGGACTCCGATTGGTTTAACGTTTAATCCAATTGGCAGCAGCATGATGGACACACAGACCTTCCTCCAGAGCTGGGAGAGCAGTTCTGCACTCGCCCCTGGGGGTAATTCCTCCCACAGACAACCATGGCACGTGTGCATGTGAGTAAGACCAAACGAGGAACAGAAAGCTTAACCAGGCTGATTTGGTACATACGTACATGGAAGCCATCAAGGAATGTCACGAAGCTCAAAGTTGGTTTGTTTTCAATATGGAGCCAATAAAACTGTTCACAACGTGATTCACTGAGCTGTGTGATTTAAGTTAGCAATGAGCGAGGTGCCAAAGCTTGGAAATGAAGTGGTTTGGATGTGCTAATGGCACCACGTCCAAAATAACAGCAGCTTTATGGAACTTAATCACTACTGACGATGCTGTGTGTTTTCCCCTATTAAGGACACACTGAATACTATTTATCCTTTGATCATACTAACAGACCAAAACCATCAAGGTGTTGTTCAGGATATTGGCTTTTGCAATGTGCCATCTAGTGGCTGCATGCCCAGAGGTCCGGAATGAGGCCAACCTTGGGTTGTTCTCAATCTGAAAGCGTCCTTAGGCATCAGCTAAAGGGAAAGTGATGGAAGAAGTAGAACAGTTTGCAAAGGCACTGCATCACAGCACAGCTGTGAGATTAGAGGTGCGTTAATCAGAAAGAAACCCTGGAAATAGAGAGAGGAGAAAGTTAATTCGGGTGCTCAACACATGTATGGAAGCACAGAATCATTCAGGTTGGAAAAGACCACCGAAATAACCCAGTAAAATCAACCATGCATGCGTGATTTGGATCAGACCAGATGCCCCTGCTCCAAGGCTCAGACACTGTATGGCTGCATAAGGTATTTATCTTCATAAAGCATTGCTAGTGACTGCTTTTAGATGGGACTGCACGTTGAGTATCAACATTAATTAAGGTCAACGTCAAAACTTCGTTCTGCTGCAACTTTATACCATTCAGCCAACTTCATATTGAAGCTCTCTTGCCAACCCAGCAACGTTACAGGGATTTCCTCCTTCCTCTTGATCTCTGCTCAGGATGAGAAGCAGCGTTCCAAAACACCTCCTCTACCTTCTACCAGCTGTCACCCACAACAGCTGCCTCAGAGTGAGACCTCGTGGTCCTTGGAAGGGAGCAGAGAGCCCAAGGACTCCAAACACCATGCATTCTACTGATTATGGAACTCCTCGTTTCTTTCTACGAAGCAAAAGGAAGAGCGGTCAGAGCCGTCCATATGAACACAACATGGAGATGTGGCACTGAGGGACGGGGTCAGTGCGCATGCTGGGGGCAGACTGGGGTCGGATTTGGGATCCAGGAGGTCTTTTCCAACCTGAATGTTTCTGTGGCTCTGTGGTTCGTATGGGATCGCATGGCATTGGTAGGGCAGGCTGTGTGTAGAAGGGAACACAGCACCGTTAGCTCTATGGCACCAGTTTGCCTGGCTGCCTATCAAGATCTCAGGGAGCACTCAGTGGTTGCTCTGGAGCAGTTTCAAGCAACTGCAAAGGGAAAGCTGCATTTCCCTGTTTGCTGTAGGACTATCCTGATGAGACTTGCCAGAAAACTCAAAAGGATCCTCTTTATTTGCACGATGTCACCTGAAGCAAGCTTGAGTTTTCCTCCTTATTCTTACCTCTGGCAATATCATTCCTGCTACATGAAACATGCAATCATAAATCACTTGTCTGCATTGTAGATAACACTGCTGTACAATGCAAGCTTCCTCACACCTGTGCTTTTCCTTTTCTACGTACACCAAGGCAAACAGTGTTGTGGAACGGAGAGTCATAGCTGGCACTAAAGAAGCAGAGGAAGATACCTCCCATTCAATCCAAAATAAGCCTTGTTATTCCTTTAGCGTCACATCTTTATGCATAGGAAATAGTAACACATCAACCTTTGCCTGGGTGACTTTTAGGACCCAACTGCTCCATCCAATTTCCAAGCACAGGGAGGAAGGCAGAATGATTTTTTCTCTAATAATTAGTGATGAAAACTAATGACACAAGGGACACCAGTGACAGCTTGTGACATAGCAGTCACAAGGAGAGATGACTGGATAGCCCAGAAAAAACCCTCTGATTTTGTGCTTACGCATCATCTCTTGATTTAAGATGTACTGACATTAATGGAAAGCATGGTGGACAGACAAGAGAAAAATTCATATCTGAGCTACATTCAAGTTCAATATATTCAGCATATATTCCACAAACTCAATGCAAAGGACCATGAAGGGTGGCCAGAGGGGTGGGTTCCACATGCCATCCCAGC